TAATAAGAAGACCAGACTTAATGGTCTGACCTAGACTGGAGGTACTCTGGATAGCATGGCCCCTAGATTCTCTATCAGCCCAGAACTAAAACAATTTCCGAGGCCAACTCTTCAGACAGGGATTGGACTGGACTGTGGAACATAAAGTGATACTTGTGAGGAGTGTGCCTCTTAGCTCAAGTAGATAAAGAGCCCACAGGGGCAGCTTCTGTCCACAGGTGAGATGGGAAGGCAGAGAGGGTTAGGAGCTGGTTGAATGGACATGGGGAGTCAGGGGCGGAAAGGAGGAGTGTGCTGTTGCAGAATGGGGTGAGCAATTAGGGTCACGTAACAATGTATGTATAAAATTTTGTATGGGACACTAACTTGAAATGTAAACTTCATTTAAACTACAGCAATTAAAAAAAAAAAGTGAGGAATGTGCTTCTTAGTTCAATCAAATACATGAGACAGAATGGGCAGCTCCTGCCCAAAAGCAAGACGAGAAGGTAGGAAGGGGCGGGAAACGGACAGATGGACATAGGGAAACCAGGGTGGAAAGGGAGAGTGCTGTCACATTGTGAGGATTGCAACCAATGTCACAAAACAGTATGTGTATAAATTTTTGAATGAGAAACTAACTTGAGATGTAAACTTTTCACCTAAAGCACAATAAAATTTTAAAAAAATTTTTTTTTAAAAAGATGAGGTAAGTTGAACCACATTATTAGATATTATTTCAGATATAAATTTTTAGTGGAATAATTCAGGTCATCATATATGCTGTGTAGCCTTGTATGACCTATAGGTTGTATTTTAAAGTGCAAAATAAACATTATCCCCAGATGGTTTTAATATAGCAGATTTCTTAAGCTACTTGCATTCTGATGAGCCCATGTTTCTCTGCAGTAGTAGAAATGAGATTAGTCTTATTCAAATCACATAGAAGAGATCATACTTAGCAGGTCAGTCTTGTTACAAATAGGGGGTCAGAATTGCTTACAGAACTGAGCCTTTCTTGAATTCCCAAGAAGTTCATGGTGGTGCTGTGGTTAAGCTCTTGGCTGCTAACCAGAAGGTGGGCAGTTCAAACCTACCAGCTGCTCTCTGGGAGAAAGATGTGGCAATCTGCTTCTGTAAAGATTACAGCCTTGGAAACCCTTTGCGAATGGTTCTGTTCTGTCCTGTAGGATGGCTTTGAGTCAGAATCAACTTGACAGCAATGGGTTGAGTTTCCAGAGTTGGAGGAGGACTGGCCTTAGTGACTGAATTACATAGATTTGAAGATCTGTGTAGTTCTTTCCAAATCTAACTATGCTTTCATCTTATCTGCCAACAGGTACAACTGTTACTGCCTTAAGATTATTCAAGAACCTACCTGTAAGAAAGCAGTTTTACTCAACTGCTAAAAAATGTAAAGAGGAAATTAAAAAAGTCCAAGATCTCCTCATAAGCTATGGTATTCTTAAACCCTACTTAAGGATTATTTTTATACATAACAAGGTGAGCATTATTGTACTTTTATAAGATTTGTTTTTATATGTGATACAGTAAAGAGACAGTATGTTTTATCTAAATCATTTAGATATGTAAAGTGTCTTTCAAAAATTTGGTTCGCATTTGTTTACTTTTATCTTTATTATATAAGTAAAGTCTTTAATTTGTCATCTAAAATTTATATAGATCTGATTCAACCTTTTATTTCTTAATTTCTGAGATCAGTGATTCTCCCAACAGACTGTTTCATCCAAGAAATGTTTGAATGCTTCCTTTTGCCAGGTGCTGTGATACATTCTGAAAATATGAAGATCAACAAGACTTGTTCTTTTCTTTGAAGTTCACAATTTTGTGACATTTCTTTTATCTTTTAAACTGTTTCTTCCTTGAAAGAGTTTTTTGTTTCTTTTTTAAAAGAAACTTTCTTATTTCTTTCTATTTTTCAAGGCAAGGCTGATATGGAAGGGAATTCATCTTATTGCTCGATGAATCTTGGGGGTGCTAAAGGATTATTTATTGTTAATGGATTGAATTGTATCCCCCAAAAATGTATGTCAACTTGGCTAGGCCAGGATTCCCAGTATTGTGTGATTGTCCACCATTTTGTCATGTGATGTGATTTTCCTTTGTGTTGTAAGTCCTACTTGTAGGATGTTACTGAGTCAGGATTAGAGGCAGTTATGTTAATGAGGCAGGAGTCAGTCTACAACATTAGGTTGTATCTTGAGTCAGCCTCTTTTGAGATGTAAAAGAGAGAAGCAAGCAGAGAGATAGGGAGACCTCATACCACCAAGAAAGCAGCACTGGGAGCAGAGCATGTCGTTTGGACTCAGGGTTCCTGCGCTGAGAAGCTCCTAGAGCAGGGGAAGATTGATGACAAGGATGATCCCCCAGAACCAACAGAGAGAGAAAGCCTTTCCCTAGAAATGGCACCCTGAATTTGGACTTCTAAGCTCCTAGAGTGTGAGAGAATAAATTTCTGTTAAAGCCACCCATTGTGGTATTTCTGTTACAGCAGCACTAGATAACTAAAATTTTCTGATTATTCTGTTCTTGGTAAAATTCTACTTTGGTTCCTTAACATATTTAATGACAGAAGAGTAGGAACACACAGTGGAGGCAGGGAAGCCTGGTGGGGAGTAGGCAGTTAACATTTATTGAGGGTCTGCACAAGGCCAGGGCCTATGCTAGGCATATTAACCTCCTGTAATCCTCACAACAAAACCAGATGAAGTAAACATTATATCAGTTTTGTCATCCAGACTGAACTCAATGAAGTTTAATACTTTGCTTAGTGTTGCACAGCTAGTAAATTGTTGAGATAGGGTTTGAAACATAGCATGCCTATAGAGTACAGATTCTTTACACACTATACTGTGTTGTCTTCCCATTTCAATGCTGCGTTTATGTAGTTCTTTTCCAGGTTTCACCACATTTTCATAATTTTCTTTGGTCCTCACGATAACTGTATGACTTTGTGAGGTAGACAGCATTATCTCTGTTTATATAGGGAACTTGAACTTAGAGGAATTGTTTTCTATTATACAGTAAGTAATAGTGCTGAAGCCGGAAACCAGATCTTAAACTTTTTTTAGTCTTGTTTTCTCTCTATGTCTTCTTACTTGTTATCAAGAATATTACTTATTAAACCAAGCCATAGTGGAATATTCATCATCAAAATCTTTGGTCATCTTAAAAAGGAAAGAAAAAAAATAAGAATAGCCAGCCACCTGTTCCAGCTGGCATAGGGCTCAACCAAATGATACCTTGATATCCCTTCCAGCTCTACCATGGTGTGATTCCTCAGGATGTTGTTGGACAGAGGCTCAGCCTGCTTATATAAATAACCCTATGACCTCTTGATCCAAAAGACATTTAGTAATGAAAAGTAAAATGTCCCCAAGGTAAGAAAATATCAAGAACAGAAGAAACATAATGATCAGGAAGGGAAAAATAGAAGAAACAGTAATATGAAGAGAAATAGGAATTACCTATTTGTAAAAGAAAAGAGTACAGTCATCCTTCGGTATCCACTGGGTATTGGTTCCAGGACCCCTGCATATACCAAAATCCATGGATGCTCAAGTCCCTTATATAAAATGGCGTAGTATTTGCATATAACCTACACACATCCTCCTGTATAGTTTAAATCATCTCTAGATTACTTATAATACCTAACACAATGTAAACGCTGTGTAAATAGTTATTTCATCACAATTGAAGACTTGCCCTGAAGGGTAGCCTTTCTCTTCTCTGAGTTTCTTGAGCTCTTCTGGGAATGCTGATGCTGCTTGGGCATCAGCCAATGCCAATTCCCCTGTGATCTTGAAGTTCTTGAGGCTGTAGCGCTTTATAGAGCTAGCCAGCTATCCCTTACTAGCCTTGAACTCTCTCCTCTTGCTGTCCTCAACCCCCTCACACTTAGCCTTTGAAGGATTGTTTTGACCATTTCCATTCTTCTTAGGAGCCATTTTTTCACAGAAACCAAGGGTGCACACAGCATGAATAGTGAATGAACAAGATGCTCGAGGCAAACAATGCTTAAACAGTACTGGAGAGAGACTGAGGATCTGTGAAATGGTGGGAGGCTACAGCAGGGTATGCCTACGCATCACTTCGTTTGCGTGGATTCACTGTAGTGCTCAGCATGCAACAAATTCACGTTTTGGTTTTCGGAACTTTTTTTTTTCCTCAAATGTTTTCAGTCCATGGTTGGTTGAATCTGTGGATGAGGAACCTGTCCATACAGAGGGTGGACTGTACAACTAAAGAGAAATTTAGAGTAAGAAAAGATATAATAGAAGAAGAAAGGATTATTGCCTCATGTAATGGAAATGAGTATTTTAGAAGTATTTGATATAAGAGTTCTCATTTATTCACATGAAGTTAAATATGTATCTTCTAAGCATTTGTCGCTATGAGTCGGAATTGACCCTGTGGCACACAACAACACCAGCAACAAGCATTTGATAAGTTTATATCATTTTCCCGACCAATTAGAAGATTATCAATCTAGGCATTTTCTTTTGAAAATGGAAAGCAGTATTTTATAATATACAGCATTTTATTATTTTTGGAGGACACCCTGCCTGAACTTACACTGAGTAAACACAGATCCCTCTTTGGCCTCCAGTAATTTCAGGTGCAGCTCAAACCATGAAGACTATGCTGAGAGTGTTACACTGTGAGAGTAATACAAGATTATCAAAAGTCTTAAATAGTAAAATTAAATACCAGCTATTATTACATAAGAAAGTCATGGAATGTATTCCAAAAAGCTTTTGGGAAAGCTTCAAGCTTTTTTCTGTTTGTACAGATGAGTATTCATTTTTGCATTTCTTGATAGTACTATTGCACCTGAAAAATATTAAAATATGTAATTAAAGCTCCCACATACCATTGGCATGCTACCATAAATCTCTTTGAATGTTGAGTCGTACTCTGCTGTTAGCCTTTTTTCTTTTAAACATACTTAAGTTCGTCATTCTTTATGTGCTTTTCTCAAGCATTTTTTTGTCTTTGCTTAAAATTTAAACATGACACCAATACTGGTGTCTTTTCTTTCTTTGAATTTTTTTTTTTCTGCATTAGAAACAAACAATCATGTTGCACATAATATGAGAAGCACTCCTGCTATTTTGACAACTTGGATTAGATAGTGTTTCTTCTTTTTATGAAGGTTTAACCTGCCAAGACATTCTTTGAATACTGATAATGTTGATGTTCTTGCCAGTATGGTTATGTTAGAAAGAGGTATTTTTCTTCTTTCATCACCATGTTCCTTGAAAGCATATTGAATAATGACACAGCCAAAGGGAAATAATTTACAAGTGGATTCAGTGAGTTTATTTGAAGTAGGTATTATCTGAAGAATTGCTAGAGCCATTCTTTGGAGGACCATTGCAGTTTTCAGCTTTGGTTGTATTAACTGAACCCCTATGAGATCCTGCTGTGTATATTTTCATTCTATAAAGTAGATTCCCAGAACTGGAAGTCTTTCTCCATATCATATCTGAAACCAATTTAGTATTCTTAGCTATTTCATATGAACAGGAATAATGTCATAGGTCACTATTTCAAAATATAATGATAAATGTGTGATTTGAAACCTCTACACTTTATAATTGTTGATTTTTGTGATTATCTTGTGATGTTTAAAATAGTCTTAAATTGAATTTTATCTTGGTGATTAGAGGCCCACTGGTATTACAAAAGCTGAATTGGATATCATTGATAGAAGAGAGTTCTTGACAGTTACAAAAGAAGAAGCAGTTTAATGAATGATTTCCCTCCTACTCCTATCCCCATATCACATGAATGTTAAGGTTTATGAAGATCAGTTTATTATTTTTGAGGTCTAGAAGAATAATGACACAGCTCTAAAAGGTTGAATATTTCTAATTTCAGTCAGTCAGAAGAGGCAGTGAATGCCTTAGCTCCAGAAACCCAGAAGACTGATCATGGAGATTTGGTAGTGAGTGTGCAGTTCCCTCTTAGTTTTCAGGGTCTCTAGGAGGGTGTTTCTTTTGGTGGTAGTTGAAGATGTGAGTGGAAAACCAAGAATGAGAAAGAAGGGACCCTTTGATTGCATTACAAACTGAACATAAATAAGCGATAGCTTATAACCCTAAATGCCCTACATCCGTAATGTCCTGTTCGTTCATTTTATTCTTCTTGACATCTCCTAGCCTTTATTCATACATTTTTGAATGGTCCAGCTTTGTTTCACCTGTGCTATAGGGAAATCAAGGAAAAGATCTTTTACCCACAATTGAACCAGTCATCTCCCCTTCATCCCTAATCCCAGGCAGAGTGGCAGAGGCAGTGTAATCAAAGAGCAATTCCAATTCAGGACTTGGGCTCAAGTGTCCCTTCCTTATGAAGAAATTATTCTTCTAGTGTCAACCTTGAAAGTTTGGGGTTTTGTTTTGTTTTTAGTTAACAAAGGTAGAAGTCCTTGCAGATATATTTTAAGGTTGGTTTGGGGCTGATTTTCAATCATAGTT